TCGCTTTGCCTATAGAATATACGGATATTTGATTCAATTCTGGGAACTTATCGAATGAAGAACGAAAGTGACATTTCTCTCTCAATTCGAAAGGAACTGAAGCTAAAATCGGTAGCGAGACCCACCGACCTGTATCAATCGACCAGATGAAAGACCTCCATGTATTGGCCTCATTATGCTATTTGGCGATTCTATTGTGCTGATGATTGTGATATATCATCATCTCTTTGTTTATATCATCAGCAAAGCAAACGCCATACATTATTGGAACTACAAGGACAACCATTGTGCTTGGTACGAGAGAAATATTTATCAAGATCATTTATACTACCAGTATCCTTATCATTTCTAGATATAATCTACAAATCTTCGAGAGACCTAGAAAATATAGTCCTTTTGTTGTCCTTGTCAAATAGCATCACTATAATGACGACAAGAGATGTAATCATCATATTTCCAAGAATTAATTGAACTGATCGACTCAACATGCCTCAGTATATTGCCTCAGTTTCCAGTAAACTATTGAATTTCAACCCAAAAGGGAAATCTTATCAGCTGAGCGGGTCCTTTCTGCCCAGGCTTCAGATTTTACGCTCGCAGGCTGTCAGTCAGTAATCTACGAGGCTAATTAGTTAGTGACGTTAATTGAGTTTTCAACGGTGTTAAAACGTGTTAAATTCTCGGAAGAGGATTCCTTGTCAACATGGAAAATATTCTACAACATATATTGTCTTTCATTACGGACACACTTTCATATATATATATATATATATATATATATATATATATATATATATATATATATATATATATAATATATATTTTGTATATATATACATAGACAAAAAACACGCACACACACATACACATATATGAACACACACAAGCACACACACGTGCAATTTTCCCGCAACTCTGGAGTTGAGGTTCAGTTAGCAACAGCACCACTACAGAGGTTCCCACAACTATTTCGATCTACACTTTTCGGCAATACCAACCTGTGTAGTGTTTGTTGTGTACTGTATGTGTAAGTGTGGCTTTCATAACAAAAGCTGTCACATTGAGTTTATTGTTAATCTTACTGAATGTTCCAATTTGATGATTTTATGGCGTCGAGTACACTGGATTCTTGCCCAAAATAAACTATGGAACTTGATGGATTTGTGATTATATAATCTTCAGTCAAATATTTATGGAAAATATAGTTTCCTGAGTATTTCTCTTGGTTGAAGTTATGGATCATAGGTTGTTTAGTTACACAGACTCATTTAATATGTATTTTCTCATTCGTTGAAGAAGTAAAGATCAGGCGCTTAACTAGCTTCCAATTAATTACTTTTATCTCATAAGTATCCTAGAAGTTCATGAGCACACCCACCATTTTTTAGAGAATTTATTTAAAATAAAAACTGCAGTCTGAGGTACTACTCTCATACAAAATGGTCTATAGTGTATAGAGGGGTAGGCAGGCATACTAGTAGTGTTTTAAAACATGTGTTAGGTTCATTTGTTTATGTGTATGTATATCTATATCTATCAATTATCAATGTTGCCATCTTGATTCATTCCAGTTAGGAAGAAGACGTAAAACTTGTAATATTTAGCAGTTTTATTGTGAAGTTATTGCGAATTATGAGCTCGTGAGTTTCCTTCCCAGCCTCTATTTTTAGAGAGAGCCTAGGATATATATTTCTTTTACATGGATTGCCGTACATAGATATCAGTCAGTTGGAAGGGATGGAGCCGAATGACATCACTCATTTTTTTGTCACATCAAAATTTATTGTTTTAGGTATATAGTAATACTGATAGATATAGGAATTAAAATTCTAAAGTAAGTTAGAGTTACATGCGGGAACGTACTTTCGTACTTTCATTCTAATTCGTGGAATCGTAGCTGAAAATCATGCTTGTCAACAAAGAAATTGCAAGAAATTAGTGCATTTATCAGCCTTTTGTTGTTTTATTTGTTTCACTATGAACTGAGCTCGCTATAATTGTTTACAACCACACACGAAAGCTGAATATGTGCTAGAGTTGCTCCAATCGTTCAGTCCCTGGTTGTTCTATCTTCAAAGATGAAGTTTCTGAGGGAACAGAAGTGAGGAGAGGCCTTTGTTGAAGGAGAGGCGTTCGAGCTTTTTAAAAATGATTCGAAAGACTCTGCATTTCCAGATCGAACCGAGAGGCAGCAGTGAAGAAGGGACGAAGGGGGAAATAATGCAATATAATACGTTTTTTAAGGGCCTTTGCTGAAGGAGAGGCGTTCGAGCAGCACGAGGCCCGAGGCCAGAGCCGCGGCCGACCCCAGCAGCAGGAAGGCCGTCATGACGGTGGCGAGGCCGATGGCGTCGACGCTGCTGCTCTCGCACGACGCCCCTCGAGGCATCCACCTCCGGGACGACTTGACGACCAGACCCGACTCCGCCATCGCGATCATGCTGAAAGGGCGTCGCGAAGTGGACTCTAATCAGCTATAGGCTATCCATGCCTGTCTATG